CCCATCAGTTGAGAGCGGCAAAGGCGGCTGACTCATTGGTGGCGAGTCGTAGCGCCCTATGGGTCCAGTGTGTCCCAAAGGGTTTATAGTACGTGTTCGGGATGTCTTTTCGAACCTCGGTCACAGAGGCGGGGTCGGAGATCGCGGGTGACTTCTTTCTATGCATGATAGTCGGGATATCGGACCGTAGGTAGGCTTCCTCATCTTCTACTTCCTCCAGCGAAATGGGGGGTGTCTTGCCTCGAGGTGGCAGTTGGTCACCGGGCTGGTCGGAAAGGCCCCTCGGCGGCATTTGGTCACCTTCCGTCGAGTGGGTGGAGGAGGGCTCACTGCCCTGTGTTCGGCCCTGGCCATGGGCGCTTGTGCGCGGCATTGTAACCTCCACGGTTATCCTATACTTATCCTCATTCCTAACGCCGGTGGTACTCTCAGAAACTCTAGGTAGATGCACACATATTGGCTCGTCAAGGGGGTCGGCATCGTTTGCGGATGAGGCCACTACTAAATGTAGGTGGTCCCCTTGAGTCCCGGCCTCAGCTGCTTTTCTGCCACTGGCGGGAGGAACAACCTGGCCTACATTTGGACAGGGAGGCCCTTCCGTCAGAGTCGTCAGCTGATTCTCCCTGCCAGGGCGACGACCACCACGTCTGGCGTCCATCTTGTCTTGACCTGAGGCGCCGGCTGGGTTCTCCAGCACTTTCCCCGTTCGGTCAAGCGGGGGTGTCTGAGGTGGACTGGCCCCTAGGGGTTCATTATCCCTCGCTGGCTGCGTAGGATGGCGGAAATCCCCTCCTACGCCATTGGCGGGTTGCGATTCTTCGTCCTTAGTCTCCTCTACTGGTAACGCGGCGAAAAGATTGGTATATTGCTCAAACGGAGTACCTACATACGTAGCATAAGTCCGACTATTATTACAAGGTTGCACACCAGTTGAAACTAAGTCCTTTGCCAGCGCCGTCGAATCGCTTATTTCAATGCCGGCTCGTCTTTTGATGACTTCTCCTCCTTGACTTCCTCGACCTTCATGTCCTTTCCCAATTCTTCTTTCTCGGCCTCAGTGAGTAACTGTCGCAGGCGCTGGACGGTGGGTTTTTTGCGAGGTGGGAGTTTGACAGGAAGCCACTTGGACTTATCTGTTGGGCATTTATGGTCACGGCTCCATCCGGTGTTCCCACACTTGAAGCACCGCTTATCGGTCCGTAGCTTGTCGATTTCCATTGGCTGTCCTGCGCCACCATATGTGGTTCCCATGGCATCCTTCTTATCGCCGCCGGAACCTTGCCCCTTCTGCTGATTTTGGGTGCCTCGACCCAAACTGCCTTGGTTCAAGGAGGGCTTACCTGCAAGGCCCTGGGCCACATCGTAATGGTAGTTGGCATCGATCCTTAGGACTCGCACCTTCCACTGCGCGTAGGTTGTGGGGCGCTCGTTGTCCCCATGCATAACCGTTTTGTGCACCGTCGGCCTAATCGCCGCTTCCACTGTCTCGAACATCTGCTTCTCGTCTTCGAATTCTTCGCACTTGTGGGCTAGTCGTTCAAATTTAGCAAAGAACTCCACCGCGGACTTGAATTCCGACTGTCGGATCTTCTTCCACTCCTGCTTCCATATGGCTAACTCGGCTACCTCGCGGAATTGGATGGTTAGGTCATGGGAGAATTCCTCCCATGTGGGGAACCTCCAATGCCCTTCTGGCGTTCGGTAGCGATAGTATTGGTCGACCCACCACTGCTGAGCTTCCCCGTGTAGATATCCCTGGGCGAAGGTGATCCAATAGGGATTCTGCCCTTGATCATTCACAGTGTAGTACATGGGGAACACCTGGAAGTAGACCTCGCAGTGATGGAGGAAGTGCATAATATCCGAGGATACCCCGAAGAAGTATTCGGGCTGTGTGACTAGTTTGGGCTTTACATCGTTCCATGGATTGTTGACGGCCCCTGGAGCTAGCTGCCAAGGCGGAATTGGGTCTGGTGGCGGTGGTGCGTTCGGCGGTACCGGTGGGTTAGGAGGCCTCGACAGTGACCTGAGGTGCGGGTTGTCATTGGGCAGCGGGTACCCTCCCGGATCTCTACTTGGAGGTGCCGGTGGTGGCCGCTTTGGTACCGTTGACTCCTTCCCCTTGGAGGTTCCCACACCTGGGTCGTCCCATGGTTCCTCCGGATTGTCAGGTCCTGCACCCGCCCAGAACTCTTCGGTTTCGAGCGGGTTAGGCATCGGTTGAGGTTGTCGATAGGGTTCACACCCCGGGTGCGCATTGTCAGGGTGTACCTGGTTCCATACCAGAGTGGCCCTGTGCCACATCTTGACTTCTAGAATGTTCTTCATGAGGTAAACGTCCCCCATGTACTTTGCATGTCGATAGTCTTCTCCTGCCTCCGTAAGGAGCCACTGGGAGTCCCGCTTCATGTCTTCCATCATGATTTCGTACAGTCCGTGCCATGGTAAGATATTAAAGATTGTTGGAAGGGGGGCCATGGGATCGATTAGGACCGTCCAGACCGCCTTCATCACCTCTGCCTCGAGGGAACTGTTTGGCGGCCAACTCGGCATCCTTGGCCTTCTGCCTCTCTCTTGCGAGCCTGTCGATCTCCTTGTTCCTCTTCCATCTCCCGATGTCGGAGTCGGGGTCGCTGATCTCTGACTCATAGGCCTGCCAGGCTCTTCAGCGGGCTTCGAGGTCTGTTCCCGCTCGCTCAGCGAGCCCTGCATACCGAAGGGCGGCAGCTCGCTGCCTGTTCTCGATTTCTGCTCGGGTGGCGTCAGGTTCGACGGGGAGGTCATAGAAGCCGTTGGGTCTGAGGAGGGCGGCGATTTTGGCACGTCGAGTGCGTGTATCTGCCGCTCTTGCTCGGTCCATTCGGGCCTCGACTTCTGGGGACTCCCGGGCATTTTGAGGGAGGTCGAGCGACTCGATGAGTGTGTGGTAGAGAAGCGTCCATGGACGCTGGTTGCTAGGGACGGGGTCGGCGAATGCTCGCCCCGCAACCGACGGTGTAAAGGGGACTGGGGCGAGGTCTCCGGCCCCGGCAATTGCTCCAAGCTCCTCGGGATTGTAGTCCGGGAACTCACTCCAGAGCTGCTGATCCGTCGGTTCAATCCTGGCGACAGGGGGAGCGGGCGCTGGGGCCTCTGGGCGCTCGGGGACAAGGAGGCTCCTCGGGGGTGAGACTCGGGCCACAGGAGCCTCTTCCCCTGGCTCGGCGTAGACCCAGCTGGTGCTGGGGTACCAGCCGACAGGGGGGCCTCTGTTTGTCGGCCAAGCAGGAAGAACGGGTCCTGCTCCATCTGCACGGGTGGTAGTCGTGGCGGAGGCCCCAAGGGCAAGCTCTCCGGAATCTTCATCGAGGTCGTTTCTCTTTCCTCCCCTTTCGTATCTCCTGTGCTCACTTCCCCAGTCGGCGTCTTTCCAGTGCGTTCCTGACCTTCTGCTGAAGTTGTCTCCGGTATAGGTTGCATCTTCCTCCTCGTCCGGGTAGAGGTCGTTGAAGAGGTCTGCGAGCTCGTCCCTTTCGGACCCGGCATCAGAGCCTTCTTCGCCCTCGACCAGATGCCTGGTGTCTTGTCCTCGGGCTCCGTCGGTGCTTGACTTGCCTTGGACTGGAGACTGGTCAAAGAGACCTGGTAGGGGCGAGTCTCCTCTGTCGAGGAGTACGCCCCGGGTATCGGTGATGTCGACTGACTCAGCGGTGGCGCTTCTGTAGGAGTTGGTGCTCGACCCTGAGTATCGCGAGCTGGACTGCGACGATCCGTAGAGGGATCCTCCAGGTCCCCCGGAGACGTTGGATTCGACATCTTGTATCGTTTGCTGAGATGCCGTGGGAATGTGTATTACTGGTGGGGGGTATGCAGGAGTGCTGGGAACGTAATGGAATGGGAGTTGTGCACGGACTCGCCTCTGTTGTCGAAAACAGCGGTGTAGTCGGTACAAAATAATGGACAAGAAAAAGAGTATAAAAGTCGCGAAGACGGCGGGAATGGCGTCGGACCAGGGCATCCGTTCTTGGATCTATTCTCTGGTGAGTCCAGTGGTTATGCTGTACCATAAGACGGTCAACGCAAGGATAGCAAGGGCGGTGAGTAAAGCGATTATCAGGTCGAGGTCAGTTTCATATGTGGAGCCGGTCATCAACGAGGAATTGTCTACTTCAAAAGTGCTGGTCAAGGCGAGCAGGATTACTGCCAGCAAAGATGCCAGTTGGAGGGATAGGTGAGAGAGATTCATTTTTCAGAATCGTAGGAATCCGACGTGGAAGAGCAGGAGGATTCCTGCAAAGAACGGCACCGGAAGGTATACGCAAAAGAGGAAGACCCTTAGGATGGTTACTAGAACCAAGCCGAGCGGGTCCTGAAGTAGGAAGCATAGCACACAAGTGGCTATGAGGGCGAGGACGAGGATGTATAGTATGTTGGACAGCATGATGCTGGGCAACGTTGGTTGAGCTTCGGCTAAATGTTAGCCACTAACTCTCAAAACTTAGATCAACTAGGGATCGCCACTCGCACTTTGGTGGACAATACAATAGAGGTCAAAGTTCTGGGGAATGAGCAGTGACGAGACAGATAGTCACGAAGAGCGGAGCTTTGAGTTAGGTAGATTAAACCTTAGCCGAAGCTGGGGTTTAGACCAGCTGAGGCTCTACTTAAATACACATTCGGTAAGCTAATAATAGTACTGTGAGAATGCGTCTGTTGCGATCGCATGTGAGTAATCAGGCTGAGTAAAATGATGGAAAAGAAAAAGAAATGAATAAACCATAACACCTTGCTTCATCTCTGACTTCCTTTGAAGGATTATTATGACCAAGACCTGCATTAACATATGAACAATTAATCCCTCCCCAGCCAGCTATCATGATAGCTTTAAAAATAGTTGGAGTTGCAGTTGTTGCCTGAACAGCCTCTCAGATCTTACAATCTGGACCTTGATTGGGGAGTCCCCATATGTTCGAAACTGCTGTGGAGTTTCAAGATTGACATTAGTTTTAGCACAAACAAACCTAGCTTAAGTATAAGCATAAGAGCACAGAAATATAGCTGAGATTAACATATGTGTTGCCCACTGAGCCCTTCCCTGCACCAGGAACAAGCAAGCACTCTTCTCCAGTGTAATCTGCATTGCTACTCTTGACAATCTCCTTAACCTCAGCCTCCAAGGTCTTCACACCAAATTTTGCATCCTTGTATAATTGGTAATGGTTCCCAGGGCTAAATACAGCAGTTGCAAGTTTGTTGTAGCTTTGCAGTGCATCTTCAGTTGACATTTTCAGTTGACCCAGCATGATTGCATTGAGACTACACAACTAATATTAGCCTCACAGAGCCAACATTAGACCAAGTAACTCACCCTCCAGTACCAGAACCTCCAATAAGATGGAAATACTCACAAGGTTTTGGTACCTCAGTCAATTGCTTCTTTGCCTGGATGCGCTTCATGATTTCATCAAGAATGATGAGCTGAGACACCCCACGTATCCCGCTGCTGTCTATCTCATGCATTAGTAAACACCATCCATGCAAAGAATATGGAGAACACACCAAGTGACAGCAAGTTCATGGGGTTGTCAGTATTAGAACTGTTAAAGGCCATCAATGAACAAGATTCTAGAGATTTCAGGTCAATGAACACAGTGTGCACAAACTGAAGACCACCATACCTTTTGATAGAGGATAGATAGGTAGATGCTTTCAGATGAGAATGCAGACGAGTGGTAAGAGGACAAGCTGTCATGGGGAAGGTGCTGCTGTAGAGGGATCATAGAGGAATCTATGCACTGGTAAGTTCATCTTGATGGTGACTTGATCTGTGATGGTCTGAATTGGTGCTGTGAACGATATACAAGAGACAAAGAAATAATATTCCAAGTATAGAAGACATAAAAAAGATATAAGCATAAGTTGTAGAGTCGTTGATGCCAGTCTGAAATTTTCTACATTGCCTAATGATAAATGAAAAGAATGACCACAAAGTAGTGGAACTTGTACCAGCTTTGTGATGGTTCGAAAAGGATGAGACTGAATTGACGGCATCGAGTTGTGCAACAGCCCCACATGATGGGCATTTCATGAGGACAGCAACGAGTTATGCCTGCTTGAGATTAACAACAGAGACATGGAATGTAAAAGCACCAACAAATGAGTAGGCTAAGAAGACACACCATGCATATAAGCGCACAACAGACCAAGTAGCTTTCAGATATGTTCATCGGTGGCTTGACATATCTGACACTAGGTTCTAGTTTCTTTTTCTGAAACACGTTCATCACATCGAAAGAGAAATGTGACGCATGTAAGTCAGTTGATAATGATGAAAGGAGAACAGCATACATGCACTGATACAAGTCTACATCATCTATCAATCTACCTCTCCATCCAGAAATGGCCATGCAAAACACCAGACAGTGGTAAGAAATCTGCATAGCATTCCCAGAGATGCTGGTGGCCATGTCCGAGAGCATGACATCCCAAGCCTCAGCCTTCCTCCATTGTCTGAGCCTAGGCATTGATGAATACAAGGGGTCCATGATTGCTACATCTGTTCTATGGTCGAGACAGCCCCACTGAAGAAACCGAGCATTAGAAATGAGATTCATTGGAAGGAGGACGATGACAACGATGGGCCGAGTCCCGCAACCCTGGCTTTTATGATGAGTAAGCACCTCTTATATTTCATCAATATTGTAAGAAACATAGTCGCTGCTAGGGCGAGAGCTCTGTATATCCTCGTTTAGGTGGTACCTCAAATGCATGATGCAACTGGTTCTTCCAGGTGTTGTACCGACGTCCTGGCAGAGAAAATTCAGCTAGCTGCTGAGTTTAAAAAGTTTGGAAGACAGATGCATTGTGGTCACAGCTAGATGGTGACTATTTTGAGGGGGTCAAAATAGAATCAAAATCTGAAAACAAAATAATAAACTTTGCCGGCACTTTTTGCTGGTCCAAAATGGAAGAATTTGGTGGGTCAAAATATGATCAAAATACTAAATTTTACCTTTGTGTCAAATTTTCTAATCTTAGTGCAGCAAAATTCAATATTTGGCCTAGATTTTGCCTTATCAAAGTGATCAATTCTGACTCGCTGGTGAAATTCAAAATCCTGTGAACCATTTTCCTGGCTCTAAATACTATATTTAGACCATGATCAAAATGATGCATTTAGCTGCAGAGAAAATATGGCCAAAATGGGAGCATGCACTTGAGCAACGCACTCAAGTGCACACTTTAGTGACTCACTGGTTAGTCACTACAGCCTGGTCCTGCGTCTCATGGTGTGAGACACAAGTTCATCAAATACGGGTTATAATTATGTGAGTTTTTTTATAAACTAGCTTAAGCATGTTTTGAAAGTTAGGCCAAAAGAACGTACAACTTGAAACAATGTAACAGTCTGAGTATTCCTATGTGCAAGCCTGTATTACGTAGTTGATTCAATAATAGATTGTATCTGCAGCGCACTTGGCTCCAGCCTCTCTCCAGGGCATTCTCCCTCCAGTGTTCGACTCCAGCCACCACTCCCTCCAGCGAATGCTCTCTCCAGCCACAGTCTCTCCAGTGACCACCCTCCCTCCACCTCCAGCGAGTCTCTCCAGTCATGAGTCTCTGCAGCCAGACCATCTCTCCAGAGTACTCTCTCCAGTTACCACTCTCTGCAGTGACAGCCTCACTCCAGCGAACCGTTTCTGACATGGCCATTCAGTGTCAGTATCCTTGTCTGTCAAACTGGGTTGGGGCTCTTGTTCCCAGACATTAGTCATGTGTTCTCCATCAGAGGACCAATGTATGTGGCAAAGTGCTCAATAGGCCTTGACACTACTACTGTCACCTGTTTCGCTATTCACTTGATTAGCCTCTACCCACAACTTTGTGAACCGTTTGAATGCAAATGGCCATAGCATGAGAGGATTGGTGAGTAGAATAGTGGAAGTGGTGTGAAGAGCTCGGTGGACTGTGGATGGAGAGACATCAAGCATAGATGACAGCCTTGAGAACCACAGTAGCAATGTCGAGGAAGACACAAGGATTATGCGAGCTGCCACTGTTGTGGATGTCGACAGTGGCGAAGAGACAAGAATGTCGGTGGCAAGGATCAAGTCGATGGTGAGGGTAACAATGATGACAATGTGCGAGCTGCCACCTATAGAATTGGTGGTGGCAAGAAGACAAGAAGAGATTTAGTTTAGTTTCTAATGATGGGCCTTGCCAAGTGGCAGTATGATAAGATCATATGAGCTTCCCTGGCTACCAATCCTACCAATTGTCTGAAAATACAATTTTTAAATTAAGAGAGATCGCAAGTTCATCTGAATGTTACAAAAATTCAGGGAGAAATGTATGAATGACTTTGTGAGTGATTTATCATAATAATAGTATGTAAAATGGCTGTGGTCTGCTCATCACACAAGTATACTTTAAAGTTTTCATCTCTTTCCCTAGCTGACATCTACACAGTACGTACCCCCTCATCTTGTCATTGTCTTGGGTGCCACTCAACTTCACATGTCTATAAACAGTGAGATTACCCTAGAAACGCTCCTGGATAGCTATACTGACTGATATCCCCAGCTCTTGGGCTCCATGACAATGGCACTCAATGCCACCACTGTTCTTATTGCTCAAATTCTATGATCTTGCATGTATGCTACCGTTTTCTGGACCTCTTGAATAATTGGCATTGATGGACAGAGTAGTGAAATGGCCAGGGTAGCTGTCATCAGCCTAGAGCAGGCCACTATGCAAGGGTATGTGTTAGTCCCTTGCTGTGAGGCACTTTCTTCACATTGCAGCAGAATATGCTTCAATATGGCCATAGGGACCGCCATTGCATCTCCGTTCTTCCATCCACTTCATGCCCCCACCCAATCGTTTCTGTGCTGTTGTCTACATCACATTTAATACCACAGCTGCGCACCACTCCATTATCCTCAGATTATATATCCTCAGCATGGTTCCCATCAACGAAGTTTGATGCACTTCCATGAGCACCTTCCATCACAGCATAGTTCTGGGGACCACTTCTGGCTGGCCTTTCCCTCTGAGACCGAGCAGAGCCATTTCTGGAGTTTTTCTGGTTCTCCAGAATAACAACATCATCCTCATGGGGGAGGTCCATATTGCTGTAGTATGGGATGGCATTACCATTGCTGGAGGGTTCATCCCCAGATGGATTTAGCCTACTATGTCTCTATATCGCTAGGATTTGGATCCCAGTCAGTTTTGTTCATGCAATCTAGCTAAAACTCACTTTCACATTTTAGTTTAACTGCTTGCTTGACATGCTCTTTGTCACACTTTATGCTTTTGATTGTCTTGAAAGGGTGTCTTGTACATACTGTATACCTCTTAGTCATCATATTGGTTGTTGTCAGTCTCAGATCAAGCACTATTGTTACTTGGTTGTTTAATTTAACATATTTTCTTGTCTACCCTCTCAAGATTGTGCCTAAACTTTACTACATTAGTGTATGACAATGTCAGATGATGATAACATACCAGTACTCCCGCTATGATTTGCTGTGAATCCATTCTATTCAACATTAACCTGGACAACAATTTCCCGCCTTCGCTCATGACCAAGATCCCGAACTTGTCAATCCTCTCCTGCGGCAACAGGTCCAAGAACTCCTCTGCCATAATTTGACAGAGAATGACATATGCAACAAAACAATTCATGCCATAAACAGCTGCTAGACTTTCCTCTTCCTGGTGGGGGACGTGAATCAGCTGCAAGAAATAAGAAGCCCAAACGACATCTGGGTGAACTGCTGGTACTTTGCCATCGAGCCAGTTGCAATCCCCCCACACTGTACCCTGTGAAACATCTTTGGCCTTGGCAACATCACCGAAATACCTTGCAAGCATTGCAGTGTTTTTAACAGCATCGGCAAATGCCATTCAAACTCGACAAATGGGGCTCTTCTTGTCGCAAGCTTTGGCAAGGTCCACATCACACCTAAAGTGTCCTATCGCCTTGAGATTCTGAGGTGTGTACGCATTCAACAACGCCACAGAAGTAGATCCCTTGTATGAAGCAGATATTGGGTATGCCAGCAGATTCGTATATCGCCAGGACTGCTCAAAGACTGTTGATAGGAGAGCTTCATGTCGAGATGCTAAAGAGATCAGACTTGCAAAGATGGTTGCAGTGTTAGGATCGAGGATGAGGTCGACGCCAAAAAGATGGTCGCGTTCCACAAGTTTGACAGCACACAAGCTCGAGCAAGGCATCCGGATCAAGGCTTGCTTCTGTAGGGTCTCCATCAATGCCAAATAGAAATGTGCGGTGGATGGATCACCATGGATTGGTGGGTGTATAGTGTTTTTGTCATACATTTTGGGGGTGCAGTTTGTGATGCTTCTGGAATGTCAGGGGTGCTTTCAATTTGAGCATCAGGGGCACATATTTCCGGTCGAAAGTTGTTGACTGATGTATTACAGGCTGCATGCAACCTACCCTTCACACTCACATATAGACTAGACCCGTGGTCTCTAACGCCAGCCAGATTACGTTGACCAGTATTTGAAGATGGTCTTTAAATGCATGGAACAGTGGTTGCAGCAACAAGTCGATGGTAGCGATAAGTTGTACCTGCTTCATGGTCGTAAGGAATCCATGAAGAATAAAAGCCCAAGAACAATGTCACTCACCTTGTGTCACTACCTTGATGTGAAAATCAAGGACCATCGTAAAGCCCTGACATGGATACTCCTTTCCGGCCACATGCTGGCGATAGAGAGGCTGTGATGGAGAGAACTGGGAAGACCGAGACTTGAGCAACTGCCAACCACATCCTCCTACACCTGTCATCACACTTCCAACAATACGATATCAAGACCTAAGGATGGTTAGATAAAGACAGGCTTGACAAGGAGAGTCAATATAACTCACCAATAGTGTGATACATGAACAATGCACAAGGATGCTTGCAGACATCTTGCATTTGGATAAGAATATAGCAACAGTCCTAAACAGTTGATGAGCAACCAGGTTACCAGGGAACACTGGGACAGACGACCTACAAGGATGCAGTATGTGGTGCTCAAGGAAATCCAGCAATGCATTTTCTAGCTTATCCGATGCCTCAGTGGCCTCTTGTCACAGGTTCAGCAGTCCTTTCCATTCTGCCTAGTGGCATTGGAAATCTCCATGAAGTGGGGTGATGCATGAGTGATGCACAGATCAGGTAGGCAATGTCAATGGCAAGTAGCAGTGAATAGGTGACAACTGAGTGATGATGGTCTGCCCCTTATATGCATTAGAACTGCCATCACATTTTATATGTGGTGAATGGAACAAAGATATAGAGTGACAAGACAGTGCATGAGCATAGCTGCATGGAAGATATTTGCCAGGGTAAACCCTGACATACAAGAACAGAATTGTAGAGTAGAAAAAAGATAGATGCCGGTCAAGGTATGCTGAATTGACAGTGAGCATGGGTATAACCCGTACACTCACAGTTGCTCAAGAGAAGGTTGACAGAGCTATGACAAAGCAGAAGGATCTGTCGGCACATGCTGTGGCTGAGTTGCTGAGAATCCCAAAGAGGAAGTTCCCTTTGAAGTGTGCCTGCAGTCACTGTCCATCCACACTGACCCAGCAAACTTTGTCTTTCTGTGCCTTGGGTGTACCCAGACACTATCACACTGCTGTTATTTTCCTGGGTATTCGCTACCATATTATCCTTTTCAACCGCAATCATCTTTCAATTAATAACTTGGCTACTAGTTGATGCTGACCTCAACTTCATGTAAAGGTCTTCTCCAACTTTCCGATCTCTCTCAGTTCTGGGTGTACCCATGCTGTGTAACCTATATCTGCGTACCTCTGCATACTTGCTAGTAATTTCACTTGCTAGGGTTGGTATATCTATCACTTGGTGCTGGTGAGCTGTCAATATTTTTCATTGACCTCGTAGTCGTTCTGACATTATGGTTATTTTCAGATATGCCGATCTGCAGGTGTCATGCTCATGGTTGTATACTTCGAGATGGTGGAGTGTATCTAGATATGGACACTACTAGACGACATGCTGATGCAGATAAATTGGACAAGCTGCAAGAAGACGTTGTCGAAGCCAACATTGAGGAGCTAGCCTCCTGGCTATCAAGTACCAATCTTGCAGACATACTGTCCCCTATTCTCCAACCTGTGGGTGGTCAGGCATGGGCTTGATCCTGGCCAACACCTGAAGAGCAGGATAAGGCTAATCGTGATATTTTCGATGATCAGCCTGAACCTTCCACTCCCCTGCAGTACACCTTCACGGATGCCAGCAGAAAGAAGAAAATAGAGTTCTACTTGAAGCATCTATGTGATATAGAATAAAGACTCACCGAACTCAGAAAGGAGGGGCTTATGTGCCTCAAAGGTGCTTCCTTTCCTGTCAGCGACTCTTATTATCCTTGGCCTTTTGAGGACTTGGAGCACAGATGTGACACCATACACAGGGAATTGACCCTTACTTCTGTCAAATATAAAGATACCAGTGTTTTGGAAGCCAAGAGTGATATTCTCAACTGTCTCCAATCTTTTACCGAGTGTGTACAGCAAAATAGGGAGGCCTGGGAACAAGGAAACTCAATTGCTCCAGCTGGAGACAGTATCAAATGTGATACAGGTAAACTTACACCAATATTCTCTTATCCTGGAAGCTGATGCCTGAATGTTCCTAGCCCACCACTTTGAACCTGTATTTGGTGGCGCAGATCTCACAATGCAGCTTGTGTTTTTCATGGTTGTTGCAATGAACATCATCATCAATACTGTGCGGTGGGGCTGTGAATTTTTGATGTGAATGTCCAAACTTATCATTTTGGGAGTTATGACCAGAGGAAACAGGTTGCTGATGCCGTCCGATGAGGCCCTCCTTGATGGTTTTCCAACTGACATCTGCCCAGCCATCGAAGAGCTTGATTTGGATGGGAAATGTACCATTTATGCCATCTGCCCTGATCCCAAATGTCACTTCACTTATAAACCGGAGTTCAAAGATGGTTCACCTATTGCATCTTATCCAACGTATTGCTGACACAAACAATTTAAGGGAAGCCATCCCTGCAATGCCTGACTCACTAGGCCCTGAAAGATAGTGGGCAGAGAAGTCAGTGTTCCTATCAAGACCTTTCTCTCATTCAACTTTAAAGACTGGCTGGCAGGACTCCTTTCATGTTCTGGTTTTGAGGAGAACATGGATGCTGCTTGGGCAGCCACACAGAAGGCAGACACTACTACAGAGATGAGGGATATCTTTGATGGGCAGATACTTCCCGATTTTAAAGGACCTGATGGACTTCATTTTTCCATCAGTAACGGAGAAGGCCACTATGTCTTTTCCTTGGGCTGTGATTTTTTCAACCCACATGGTAACAGACAAGCTGGTAAAAAAAAATCAATTGGGATGATATCTCTTGTTTGTCTGAATCTACTGCCTGATCTTCACTATAAACCCAAGAACATCTTTCTTGCTGGCATTGTTCTGGGTCCCAAAGAACCTCCTGTAGATGCTCTGAATCATTATTTGAAGCCCTTGGTTGATGATTTATGCGAGTTCTGGAAACCGGGAGTGTGGTTTTCTCATACCAGCAAATGCCCACATAGTAGGCTGGTGAGATGTGCTCTAATTGCAGTGGTGTGTGATCTTCCTGCAGCACATAAAACTGCTGGATTTGGCTCCCATAAGCATCATCTATTCTGTTCCAGGTGTAAATGCCACAGGAAGGTCCATGGCCTTGGGACCACAGACTATCAGAATTGGGAGTATCGAACCAATGATGAATGCAGGGATTTTGCTGCTACATATGTGTATTGCTTGACAAAGAAAGGGAAAAAAGATGTTTTCAAGGTGACAGGTGTATGCTGGTCAGAGTTGTTAAGACTGGAATATTTTGATATCACTCGTTTTGTGGTCGTTGATTCGATGCACAATTTATTCTTGGGCTTAATCAAAGAGCACTTGGAAGACATTCTAGGCCTTCATTTAGATCCAAAAGGGTCTTCGAAGAAGGAGAAGGAGTCCCCCATTGCGATTATCATCGATGTGTCTAATGTGTGGAAAAAGTCTTTTAATTTGAAGGAACAGGCAAGTGTGCGAAAGGTGGTTGGATGGCTGGAAAACCCCATATGTGCAGATTTGGAGACCAATGAAGGCTGGGACACTTTTGTGAAGAGGTTTAAGAGAATCCAGAGCCCTGTTCTTGTTTTCCTCTGTTCTGAGTTACAATGTCCAGAAATTCCTAGACTAGATCAGCAGCACAAGAAAAAGCGTAAAATACATTGGATCAGGGAGTTGCTTGAATGGGTAAGTTTCTAGTTCATTTATTGCAAATATCTTTCTGACTTCCTCCAGCATAAATCCCAGACAGAATTTATCCAGTATGAGAAAGCAGATGGTCCAGTCCCCCAACATATGAAGGTCTTCACCAAAGCTGAAATCCAAGAAATCAGATCTGACATATCTTCTATGATAACACCTTCATGGTTGACACCTATCCTAAAGAATCTAGGGGAGGCAGGGCACGGAAAGCTCAAAGCTGATCAGTGGCGAGTCCTTGGTGCAACCTATCTCCCAGCATCATTGATATGAATGTGGTCTATGCCAAGCCAGGGCAATGCAAGCATCAAAAGGCATCAAGAGATTCTCTGTGTTACCATGCTATTATTATCAGCTGTCAATATCGCATCCTCACGGGTGTCCTCGGAAATGAATGCAGACAGATATCTTTTCCTAATCATCTCCTATATCAAAGGTGTTTGCGAACTGTTTCCAGAATATGAATTTCACCTGAACCAGCATATGGCCATTCATCTCCATGAATACCTTTGTCTTTTTGGTCCGGTGCACTCATGGTGGACTTTTCCATTTGAATGTCTCATTGGCATGCTACAGCATATCCCAACCAATTGTAAAGAAGGTGCGAGTTCTTTGTATGCAGTCCATCTTGATTGCTAACTAACATCATTTGCAGGCGAGCTTGAACAAATGATAGCTCTCTCATTCAACCGATCTGCACATTTACAAGCACTTGTTACAAAGATAGGCTGTCCGTTAGCAATACACAACTGCCAGTCCATCTTTGAAAAACTTGTAAATCCTCAGGTACGAAACACTTTTATACCAGACATGTTTGCCTGGAATTTGCAGAAGGATGAAGAGACTGAAGAGGCCTGCATCACTATTGACCTCAGTGAATTTCGTGGTACAACTCCAATCCTCTGTGAACTATTCCCACCTTTACATGACTTTCTTGGTTCAGTTCTGCCTCTGAAAGCCAAGTTTTTCCATGATATCACCGTGAATGGTGTCACATTCTCCACAGCTAGAAGACATAGAGGTAACAGCTGTATCCTTGTTAAGGATGGAAAGAGGCAGATTACACCTGCTCAAGTTGTGTACATTGTCATGGTTGCAGACAACTGTGTACTCATGGCTGTCCAGCATCATGAACCAGTGGTTCTACAGCATAATCCATATGTGCCATACCAAGGTGAAATGAAGCAGGAGTTGTGGAGCTCCTCCTTCAAACCTCTGAGTATCATCACCATGCAGGCAGTGGTATCTCATTTCACAATGTTGGAGATGATATGGGAGGGTCAAAACATTGTATTGGTAGGATCGCTGGCAAGAGTAAGTAAATATCTTCATCAAAATATCTGGGTAATTTATTATCTTCACTTAGGAACATTGAGAAGAAGCAGACAATTGAATGAAGTCGTGGGTGTTGCATTGTTGCCTCTTCGATTAAATGATGTTATATAATCAATCACTCTATACCTCTTATAGTCAACCAATACAACAGTCTTACAGTCTTATCATCAATGATCCACACGTGCAACAAATCCTGCTATCTTGGGTCTCTGAAAAACACTAATGGCGATTTTTGTGGTAGATTCGTGCGATCTAAATGATTCACCTGCCTCCTGAATCAAATGATTAAACGTGGAGTGTTGCCATCTATTATCGTCACATTGGCAGTCTTGTTGTGAGCTCTCTTGTCTCACCTTTACATTCTCTTCAACAGCCTACTACAATCTTTCATGTCCTTTCTCCATTTCCATCTCTCTTGAACACATGTTCATTCTTCCTCAAAAACAGTGTTGGGTGTTTCCTTTATCTCGCTGGTGATATCCCGGTATTCATACAACACTAGGGTTAGTTTGGTCAAAATAGCAGAAAGTTTATTCGACGTTTGCCTAAGTTTAGATTGGCTTATAGCATTGCTAAGTGGTGTGCCTGATGGTGGTGAGTGCATATGTCCTTCCTTGGTTGTGTAGCCTCATTTTGGGGTAGGATCAGTCACGGTACCTTGTGAGATAGCCTTCACTCAGTGTGGGATGTTTGGACTGTTTGCAAGAGTTTGTTTTCTCCATCAAAATAGTAGGAGTTGAAACACACATTCATAGTTTCATCTAGGGACCTGGAGTTGCCATACTTAACAATCTGAATGGAACCATGTGCATGTTTCATCACTGGCCGATATATTATCTTGGGCATCTTCAAGTGTTCAGCTCTCTTGGCAGATTCAGTGCAATCCAAGAGAGCGAAGAATTGAAGTGGTAGATACTCTGGAATACAAGGCATTACAGCATAGACAAGAGGAGTCGATAATATGGACCACACTATAGCTGGACACCTGAACTGCTGATTCCCATACTATTATAAGCCAAGCTTTATCGCAGTGCTGAAGAACTTCTAGCACCATTTCTTCCACTTCTGAAAATTGGATTTTCTCACCCAACAGAGAATTCATGGCAGGTACAGAAGGCGGTGTGTAGGCAAGCAAATAAACATAGTCCAGTGGTTATTAACAAATGAACAACACCAAACAAAGCAACCTTTTTCAGCAAAAATTGGACATTGTTCTGGGTCCAGTTAAGGTAGCGGGCTCTGTCAGGCATGGCCCTATTCATTATGTACTACTGTCTTTCAAGTTGCATGCCATTTGCCATCTGAACTGGGTCCACCAATTAGCATTCTACAGGTTTCCTTCAATCTTGAAATCGAACAGTCTATGCCACCTTGTCCACTGAAAATGTCAATGCCATTGGTATGATCCGGGGTAGGTTTTCTAAGTCTTTCTCACAAAGTGAACTGATGCTAGCTGAGCATCCTGCAATAAGACAAGCTCAGTTCGAATTCAATTTGATCCAGAATGTCCCCTGGAGCGTCAATGTTGTGGAATTGCTGCACAGCACACGGTGTTCACTCTATTACATACTCAGAGCAGCTCTTTCTGTGTCTGTTATGGAGGCCTTTTCTCCACAACCTGCCTTCTCACACATTTTTACTTCTTTCATTTGAAAAATGTGCGACCTGCATGCACAACGATCATATTCCCATCCATAACATCAGTTTCAATGGGGCCATGAAGATGGTTGAGCCCAACTGCATCAGCAAGATGCATGAATCGCTATCTGGAGTCCACTATAAGGAGATTTGCAATTTGAGAAATGGCATGTACTGGTCCATCAAGATTGCATCTCGCTTCCATGGTGGTTAGTTTCAGTGATCTGTCTTGGGGCAGTGCCGCTTGCCATGCACTTCTCCTTCAAGTTTGATCTGTCTTCGCATCGGGTTGCATACACTCGGCTTGTTATTCAAGTTAGGCATCAGGTGTGCATCCTAATTCTCCCAAGAATTCGCTCCTTTTTGTGCTACATTCACGTGCAGTGACTCACCATATATGTAAGTACTTTGTTTGTAGGTTCCCAGTCAAATTGATTCATATCTTATCAGGCTGTCAGAGACAAGACAATGAGCATTTGGACCTACATCGGATCTGTATAGTTGGCATGGCTCTCACTTCCACCTTGTAGCTGACATCTTATGTTTTGTTGCACCGGATCCCATTCACAGGGATTGTAGAAACATTTATTGATGCCTATTGTGGCTGGTGGGTCACTGCTGTTGTTCGGCATAGTTCTAGGTCTCTTCCTAGTGGCTAGGTACATATTAGTAGAATCACTGAGACGATATCAGGCAGTACTTTAAAGTAGTGATTCTATGTATTAACTTTCAGCACAAGATTGACATTAACATTTCTTGATGAATTTGTGCCACCCTGCTGTGTTTGGGCCGCAGTCTTCATTCTTCTTCAAGGCTACCGAGAACATATTCCCTTCAGCTTTATGTATTGCTATGTGTTCTGGACTTTCTACCTCTCTGAAACCCATCCTCTCGAGTGAGCACTGCTGTTTGGATTTCACTGTATAATACATCGCAGCTGGTGACTTTTTCATCCAATTTTCTTCACTTCTCCTTCACAAGGGAAACTTGCAGGCAACATGGAAGAGACCTCCCACCCAGTCGAAGAGACTCCAGAGCTGGCCTGCCCTGATCATGCTCAAAGGTACATACATCGACTTGATTGTCTTATAGAAAGGTCTCTAATCGGAGTCATGGTTGTCCAGAAATCACCCCACCAATCCATCTCCCACACTATTGTTGCCCCCCTATAACTCCCTCCCAACATCACACTCTAGCCATAGGAGCTCTGCGATTCTGACTGCAATTCAGGTGACCTTGAGCAATACTCCATCCTGTCCCAGTCAAGATCACTGCATATATATGCACTGACTCATGCACCTGGCAATACAGTGTTTCAATGATGTCATCCAACAAGCTCCTGACAGTCATTACCATCATCTTTCACCATGAGAAATCCAGGGCCAGATCTGGAATATGCAGGTTGCACTAGACCTGATGGGAGACATGGCATTATACTCAGAGTGGTTGCAGCATGATGAACATTGGAGACTGATGGGATGGACTGTTGAGGATAGGGCAGAGGGGCACTGATGACTCCATAGAGGGAGACGATTTGCATATACTACATTTGCTTAATTGTAATAATGTGATTTATTGGATCCTGTTCTATATGCTAGTTCTTCTGAGTTCTGATTGCCAGAATATTGTCCTTTGTGACATTCCCACTACCTTATCAGGACTCAGCAAGCTCCTGACTCAGCATGTCCTGCTGTGATCCAACTCTCCTTCTCCTTCATGGTATCATCTTTTCTGCTGAACATCCTTCAAAAAAAGCTCCAGCACCCCTTCCTCTGCTTCAAGCCTTCCCTCATCTAAACCATTGCAATATCCAGCCCTTCGCCCCTCAAGACCAGCCTCCTTTCCACATTGAAATGTGTCATCAGCAGCCTCCATACTACCCTCCTGCATGCTTGCTGAAGTCTCTATGTCAACCTGAGCTTGCCTCCCTGCACCACACTTCCCTTCTAGTCAATGTCCAGCTGCTGAAAACTTTGCAAGAGCAGCATCGTAGCCTTGGACATACCCGGTCTGCTCCATCTCCCTCGATGCCTCGAAATGGCCATCCTCACCCAAGCGATACGTGTGCCTCCAAAATCGCATCAAAGCCTCCTTCAAATCTCCTTCAGACCCCTGTGCATCACTGAACTCCTTCAATGCTTACGAGAACATAAAAGGTGATGTTGGCACCACATCCAAACTGGTATTTGCTGTCGTGTCAATCTTCTGCTGGGGAATAAAGTCGGTAGTCGTTGTCATGGTGGCAGACTTTTTCTTGGACAATGACTTCTTCTTTGTGGTAGTTGAGTCCACAGGTGGTAATAGAGCTGCAAATATAGTAGCTTTGTCGACAGTAGTGGCCATTCTCATAGAGCATAGAGTGTAAAGTGTAGAGTGTAGGGACAATAGAGAGTGAATTTGAGCAGAGAAAAATTGTGCAATGGTGAGAGCTGGCTAGAGAAGTTAAGTCTGAAAACCATTCCCCCGCAATGCTCAAAAGAACATGATGTGGACCCCCATCTCGTCTCTTAGAAACTCAGATTACAAGTTACCCACCTCATGAAAAGACCTTACCCACTATGATATAGCTCTTACAATAGTCTACATACAATTATAATACAACTATGATACCAGTGTACTATACTAAGTACTATACAGTGACCCAACTCCTAGCGACCTACAGTAGTGATACGAAGCATGCAGTGTAGCATGGACCCCATAAATGAGGTCCGAGGCACTATAATAGATACCATCATCATCATCAAGTCTGAAAGAGTGTTGTTGAATCACACTCTCATCACCATATGGAACTGTATTGCTAGGTCCAAGAGAGGGAATGAGAAATCGCTAGTGATAGTCATGGACATGTGGGAAACTATGGATATCATACATGTGATTGCAGAGGAACTGGACTGTGCCAACTCCCACTATTATTTTCTCTACCTCTTCATTCACCTCTGAAATCAGGAAACCACCATTCTGAACATGCTCACATGAATGGAGTACTTAGATGCTCTTAACATGTTGCATGACACGAGTTTAGATGATTATGATGCCCACTCTCACTTGATTAATCCTTCATGAAGTCAGATCTTCTGGCCGTATTAACTCAGTTTGGTAGTGACTAGCCCAGTGAATTGAAGTGGGTCTGGCTGTACTGAGCCAAATAAAGCCCAGGGGAAATGATGGATGAGGCTTCATTGCACTCGCTGTGACTTCAAAATGTAAACCATTTACCAGCTCAAATTGAGCTATTTCGAGCTTGGTATGTCAGTGCTATGGGTTTTCATCAGGCTTTGTAGAGCTCAATTTCATTGTTATTATTATTATTTAATACTATTAATATACATAAAACCAGATGATTTGAATCGCTACTATGCTAAGTAGCAGCTCTAGTCTGCACCACCCTTCCCACTGTGCCCACAGCTGGCTCTGTCCTGCTTGGATACCTCAACTGTGTTGCCCAATGTCAAGCCTTAGAATAAATCAGTGCATAATGACAGGAAAGACAATTTCAGGGCTACTCACAAGATAGAAGCTAGCTGGAGCAATGGCAAGCATAACCTGCATTTAGCAAGCCAAGAAATGCATGTATATGTGGAACAGAATTTAGTGTGACCAAGCCCAAGTGCCTAGACGGCGCATAGAATGACTGTAGACATTCTAAATATCAAAAAACAACATATAAGAATGCAATGAGATGTACCTCAGAGGTATCCAGATATCCTGCTACTCAAACGAAACCCGAGGACGTATTGCTGCTGAAGGTGTCCGAACAAGGTGCATATATTCACCTTTCACAGAAGTTTGAGTCCATAGCATCATATCTGCTGGGCTTCGCATCAGTTTGCCAGTAAAAGGCCAACAGCAGGAGGTACAACAGCAAGCGTAAAGCTATGTTCTGCGATAATACAGGATCTGGATGCAGGGCAACAACGAGAATGGATAGGCTGAAAGGGGACAGGGATGGTGGTAGTAAAAGGGAAAGAGGTGTTAATTAATTCACCAGTTGACATGTACATGGTAGGATCAATTTGACTCGACTTGAAGTTGTCGCCAATGTGGTTTGCACTCATGAAGTTCAGTGCATTCAAGTTAACCATTGGATTCAGAGAAATTCTACTCTGGTAATTCTTAGATGTGCTAATGGAAAGAGGTGAAGGTTTGGAGTTCAAAGCCTTCTTGTATGATGCCACTCAGTGATCCAGCTCGACCACGCTATACAGTAATCTTTGCAGCTTGATTTAGCTCGAACCAGCTCGACGGAATTTTCACTGGGAGTGACCACAGATGCACAAACTGACAAGTCTGGTATTGCATTATGAAGGTGGTGTGAATGCACCTGTGTAGCGCACTGACTCGGTTGGGAGTTTTGATCGCTATGACAGGTGTTTTCCAGCACTCAATGCCAACACCTTCAAGTTATTGTTCCTTGCTTCTGCGATCAGCCATTTGATGAGCTGCACAGTAATCCCAAATTTCTGCAGCAATTAATAAACATCTCCTTCCTGTGTTGGGACCTACATCATGGTTCGGAGTTAGCCAGTGATTTTGTATTGCATTTCCCTCAACTGTTGGACCAAGCACTATTTGCTACGCTTGATCATCTTTGCTTTCTGCATCCCAGTCCCTTTAGTCAGTTCCAGTGTATCAAAAGATTCTTATTATGGGACATTCTATGGCAGTCTCTACAGTGGACCATAACATGTAATGAAGCCGCAGTCTCCACACAATCCATTTACATTTACACATCTACACAAGACCTGGGAGGCATGATAAGTCATAAAGCCCTGCTTGGAGCTTGCATGTAACAGGATAGCCTCTTAGCTTGTTTTGCCATTGATCTACACCCAGAGGTTCAGCCTTTCCTTCTAGAATTTCCTGTAATCTCTTCTGATACCACTGCTCATTTTCACCTGACCAAAAACCCATATTGACACCAGCCACATTCCAAGTAAATGGAAGTGGCCACCAAGACTTGAAAGCTACTTGTAAGCCAGAATCTAGAGTTGAATTATGAGCAACTGTGAAGATGACAAACTTGCATTTACCAGTATAGCACTTGTACAAACCGCAGATGAGATTAGCTTCTTCATTAACAAGATTGTCATCCCACAGGCTCCATGCATCACCTCTGTCCCTGAAAACAAACCCGGTGTGGTTTTGAGTAACAGTACTGGAGAGTCCATGAAGTGCAGCATCCAAACTGAGATGCTCCTTAGCGAGGTGCCAAACGATTCCTCCTCGGAGAAGAGCTGTGCAGCCTTGAGGTTTACTTAGGATGTTTGTGCAGTTCTCGACATAGGCTTGGTAATCCCTTGCGGTAAATTTGTAGTCCACCAGTTGAAAGGAAATAAGAGGAAGAGCCAGTGGTTTGTGAGCACCGAAAGTATTGCTGAGACGAACTAGTGTGTGGAAGGGGATTCTGTGTTGAATCAGAAAGTCTGGCACATTATGATTTGCCATCACATGGCAAACCTTGTATACATCTTGCCTATTATGTACAGCAAGGATCCAGCTGTTGGATATGTAAGTATCTTCAGCAAAAACAAATGTTTTCCATGGACGATCAGCCTTGAGTGTGAACAAACAAGGATGAAAAGATAGACTTTGCTGGTCCCCAGGATCAACATCCCATCTACCAACTGCGGGATTTTGCTTGCTTGAAATGTCACCCAAGAACTGTAATATGGCATCTGCGGTGGAAGAGGATAAAATCTGTGCCACCTCTAGTGGCTGACCAAAAGCCTTGAGAACATACTTCAACTCATCACTGCCATTCCACTTTGTCACACATCATTGACAATGATAGGTGGAATGAATCCAAATTGTGAGGTCAAGGTATAGAGAAAATCAGGAGTTTCCTCAGTCTTTTGGTCATCATGTCCCTCTATAACAGAGATGTCAGGACTTGGCATTCTCTGGAATTTCTGTGATGCCAAATCAGCTTCAGCATCATATGGACCATCATTGTAGTCATTATCCAGAATGTCCATTCCATAGAAATCTTCATCGTCACTACAAACATCAGGAACTTCACCCCATGTGAGACAGACATCCCATTTGTTGGTCCAGGAGTCATATCATTTCTGCTTTGAAGAGAAGTTGCCCAATACATCGGTTCTATGCTCCTGCTTGATATTCATGTCTTCCTGACACCATCCTCCAGGCTCACAAGGATCTTCCACCCATTCGTAAAGGCCCCGTGCATGCGTTGTAGGAGGGTTTTTCTCATGGCCAAGTCTCAAGGCATGATGTTGTTTGGACTCTGTCTTCTCTCTTTGAGCATTGTGCTTGTTCCTTGCCTTGAAGAATGAGATCCATCCCAGAAGATTGCCGGAAGTTGATAATGTAGGTGATCCTTCAGCTGGAAAAGGCAGGGAAGTGGAAGAATCAGGATTGAACATGCCTCCAAGCATATCAACATTGAGGATACTGGTGTCAGGTAGAGCTGAGCTATCAATGTCTGTCAGGGGACCGCTTGCATTCTCGTGACCATTTTGAGAAGAACCAGAGGGAGATACAGGTTGCTGAAGATAAGCATGAAGCTCTTGCAAAATATGCACTGGAGGAGTGATAGCATCAAAGAGATGAGGCCACTCCTGAGCCTCCTGTGCTTGGTGACTGGTCCATGGGTACCAGACAGAAACTCCTTGTGTGATGAACCACTGGACTGGAGGCTGCAAACCAGACCTGACAGTAGGAAGCAAAAATGTACCAACTCGGTAGCTGTATGAAGCCCGAGGGGGGACAGTCGACATGAAATGCCTTCCAACCAAGGAAAATCGAATCCTTTCAAAGATAAGAAGGAAAACCAATTGGGAATTTCTTCTTCTACTGTTGTCTTTCGTCTCTCCCACCCAGTAACCCTGTATGCAATGATAAAGGAAAGAAGGCCAAGCCAAATGGAGAACCACTGATGAGCGAGAGTTATACGATGGTAGACCACCTTTTTTGCACCTCTCTGGGTTGATCTATAACCCAGTTGCCAGGGAGGTTGCGGACATACACAAGGCACTGAATAGCAGCTTGTCAGAGTGGATGTGCTGATGATCAATGCGTTCTCTAGTCTTGACCAGTTGTTGGCCAATGACGGTGCCAGGCAATAAAGATACAGCCTCATTTTGATGCTAATGCCATCTTTGTGGACAGACTGTTCCTGGGATGTCTGCTCTATCTTCATGTTTCTTTGAAGATGGTCTAGGGAATATCCACTGAGTTGCTCAGCCCAATCAATGAAGGACAACCAGCCAAACTGCTCAGTCCACCACCAAGGTTCAAGATAGTACCCGAGATTCATTCCTTCATGGAAGATGTATTGATCTGGGTTGGAAGGTACAGGTACTTCAGCAGCATATTCCATGTTGGGACTATAGAAAATGTCCCCATTGGAGACAAATGCAAGACCTTTTCGATGGTCCACATCTTCATCAAAAAAATGGTCATAAACAAACTTCATACTATCTTAAATATTAGGTTTGAGTATGGCACACTGAGGCTATTCACTCACGAGTTGGTATCATTAGGAAATGCCACAATCAAGGCTGGTAAAGCTATCATCAAGGCCTCAGAGGATTGAAACAGTATATTTTGCAGACATGCACAAGTAACACAGCTATTGGCCTGTGATTGAGCGCAGAGTGTAGGGGGAGTGCTGGACTGCCAGGGAATATAACCCAACACAGTACAAAAATGAGAGAAGGTAAAATTCTTTCTGTTTAGATTGCCAGGGATGGACCCTGCACAGTCTGTCTTGGTCAGTAGTCATGGTGGTAAAGCAGAAATGTGGGCAGGAACATTGGAGTAGCCAAACACGATGAAGCCAAACATCAACTGGATGGTAAGGAAATGAGGACCTCATTCCGATTTTCTAAACTCTGAACTTTGAAGTACTTCAAGTACTTAGTAGTAGACTTGTATCCTCTTAAATTCAACTATAAACCAGCCTATACAATAAGAGAAAAAAGAAGCCTACAAATTGATGTCTTGCCTATACATGGTGACTTTTATTCTGTCTACTTGGTTATGCGCCTGCTTTACCATCTCATTGCTTTTCTGCAAGTCCCTTTTATCGGCCCACAAGTTCCTGCCACTGTACATCTCTTCGATTTCCTTCGCCATGGCCTTTTCAATCAAAGTATATAGGTAGTCATCCAGTTCCTGCTTAAATGAAATTAGAAAATATGTTCATAGGAAAAGAAGTTGTAAGCCTGACCCCATTAACCTTCTCTCGCCACAAAGCCAATTTGTAGATTAGGAACACAAACACCAGGATACACAGGCTGATCAGTAACAATTGCACCTTTTGCTGACTGTTCCTACATCGGTTGACCCCCAGCTTTGTCTTCCAGCTTTCAGTAAATTAGGTGTTCCAATTCAAGTAGGAATTCTCACTGGTTTCTCCCATATGCAAATCACAGGCTCACGAGAACCTGTGCTGCCAGCACTAGCAATGAGATAACAGTCTGAATAAGAGTATGTCTGTTACTGTTGAGAGCATAATATATTTCCAGTAAGAGGAGTACTTACATCGACTGCCTGTATTGCTTCCCAGTCTAAGCACTTGTTAGCAGATGATAGACATGAGAGAAGGAGATGTTACCTTGACCATGAGGAAGCTCTTGTATCAACACACTCTGCTTCAAATCCATGACTACTACTTTCCCTGCATCACTCCCACCGACAGCGACAGAACCATTTTCTGCAAACCTAACATCTGTCACAATGCCAGTGTGAGTTTTCATTGTGATGGAAGAGGTCTTGATCAGCTCAGGTAACTTATATAAATCAAAGCCATATGCCATATTCTGTACAAGAATCAAGTTCCCTGCCATATTCGAAGTGGCATTGCCACTGGGGAAAGACAGTCAGTTTTAAGTTCTTGAAAGGAAAATGCCTGCTTACATTGGCCAATGCACTGGCTTAGTGGCAACTGTATTACTACTGTCTGCAGCCAATGTCATTCTATCAAATGGATCAGAATATTTGCCAGCAAATGCTTGCAAATCACTTACATTTTGCCCATATTAAGTAAGCTGATCAAGAGTTCCTGGCCTTCATTGATGAAAGTGGCAGTGTGGGGGATGGCCTTCAAAATAGATCTCGACCATTCCTGGTGAAAAAGGACCTTGTAGTCTGTTGAAGCAGTTAGACGGTCAAGTAATTGATGACATATATCTTTACTGAAGAATTCTAGACCATAGGCAATGACTTGCCCAAAGTGACTTGTAACAACAAGTCAATTGGATGGGCGATCAAAAGTCAAAGATTCCATGGGATCACTGACTGGTGAAGCCTGAACACCTCCATTATATCGATAGATCTGGGGCTAATGTGAGTGTGGTACTGGCTTTGAGTAATTTTCTCACTCACCCCACCCTTTGCTTGGCCGTAGACATATACAAGACCATGGCCAGTACCAAAAGCTAATCACGCTCCTTCCTCACCTATAAATGAGATGCAGATCACCTGGCCCCAGCATGTATCACTGTATTCCAAGGTTTGACAGGAGTTAGGTTTGTCTAGAGACCATATCTTGACGGTCTCATCGTCACCTGAGGCTATTTTTAAGTCTTGATGAATTTTAAAGAAAGGCAAGAACAGCCTACCCCCACTCACCAGATACCTCCCATCTGGTGTGAACAAAAGTGTGTTGATTGACTCATGATGTCCTGACATGTGCAGCATAAGGCGGTAATCCTGTTATTACAAGTAAGCTGCATTTCCACTACCATGAGCAACTACTTACATTATGAGCATCTTTGAAGAAGAGAAGGCTATACATAATGTGGTACAGACTGGGAAGCATATTTTTGAGTACCACATTGGCCTCTGTGTCCTATTTGTACCGGTTCCTTCATAATTGTCTTATCTAATTGTCCAGTACCTTCATAATGGGCTGCGACAGTCAGAAGCCACACTCACATGGGCTGCCTAGCATTGACTGCCACAGTCGGATGCCACACTATGCTTCAACAATAAGAAACTCACCGAAAATATAAAGAACCTTACCTAGTAGCTTCGATATCTTGTACATTATTGTATAACCACATGGTGTTCTTGAAAGACAATGCAGATAAAAGTTGCAAATAGCGTATCAATAGTATGCTTATTGTGAAAGTCCGGACACCCCTGCGCTTTGAGAAGTACAGACCATTCGAGAGAAGCATGGTGAAGTTTGAGGCCTGGAAAATATCTACATGTACTAAAAAAAGGCACATGAGACAAAAGCACAATGGATACCTGGTTGAGAGAGGTACTTAATAGTCATTATAAAAGACTCAGACTGACTTTGATTCTTCTCCACTCTACAACCTCAGAATGCCTTGCAATGTCAGCATCCCTCCCCCAGCCATAACCCACCGCACCACCTTCTACCTCACAGCTTCACAC